ATAGATAGATAGATAGTGTTCGACGTGATTCTTTAATTTGACGTAACTTTTTTATTTATGAACCGATTGACATGAAACAAACACTAAAGCATAACTGAAGCATACCACAATATATTCGTGAAAACCGCATCCAACTCGGATAAGCCGTTTCTGAGATTAGCGTGAACAGACAAACAGACAAACAGACAAAAAAAAAGTTAGTTACATTTTTGGGTTCGACATCGACATAACAATAGCCCCTGCTATTTTTTTTATTTTTATTTTCAATGTACAGACAGCACTTTTCTACAATTTTATTATATGTATGTATAGATATAGATAGATAATATAGTTATAGTTTTTTATGCATTGTTCTTATCGTATTTTTTTTATCTTCTGTTACACACTGTGTCTTTTAATTTAATTACATTTCCTGTCTCAGGTCTACTGGAAGAAATTCCAACAGGAATAAGTAGCACCTTTGTACTCTTATTTTATATATATGTGTTATCCTCTGTACTGTTTGTGTGTACACAAATTATTAAATAAATAAATAAATAACTACCTATGCATTTGGAAATATACCTACAATACTAGCCGTGACTTCGTCCGCGTAGCGTAGGTATAATGACTTCGGGCAGGATTTGTGTTTACGAATTGGTTTTTTCCAAAGTATATTCATATAGGTAATATGTCAAACTGAGAACCTCTTTTTTTTCTTTTAGCAGTCTGTTAAAAATGTCATAATTTGCATAAATTATGGGAATAGAGGCCCTACCTACCTAATCGTACGTAAACTTGTCTCCAAACTTTTAGGCATTTCGTGGAAATCAATTTATTGATAATACTTCTTAGAAAGGTAGGTACTATATTTTTTATGGTATAAGCCGGTAAACAAGCCATGCCATAAGCCCCCATGGACACCTGGAACACCAGAAGCGTTACAAGTGCGTTACCGGCCTTTTGGAGATTAGGAATTTGAAGATTGTTGGGAATTCAGAGTTTGGGGAGATTGGTGAAAGGGGGTAGGGCTTAGGCTTTCGGTAACCTCATTCACATGACGAAACACAACGCAAGCTTTGTTTCCCGTCGGTTTTCTGTGAGGCCATGGTATCAGTCCGGTTGAACCAACCAATTCGTGCCGAAACTTACTACTAATAATAGTAAAATACTTAGCATCAACAAACTTACTTCGTCTCTCGTGTAGTTCTTCATAGTAAATTCGACGTGTCTCAGTGTTTGGTTGTAGTATTCTTCATAAGAACATCTTTCTATCTTTTGTGGATCTGAAATACATTAGAATAAGTAACAATTTGTATTATTACATATTACAAATTACAATACGATAATTCGTACGCTTTTTTTTTTCATTTTTCGAAACTCCATAACTTTAATAAAAAATATTCCTTATACCTACAAAAAATGCCCACATTTTAAGTGTAACTAAATTGCCTTAAGGCAATTTAGTGTACAAATACAGTACAAATTGGTAACGCAATCAATAAAATTCTTGTATCAGAAAATATTTATCAAGAGATTCAATAGCAAAAACGTATTCCATTAACAATATTGTCCAGTCTAAATAAACATTCTTCCTTGGGTAAATTCCCAAGGTGCCTTCAAAGTGTCTTATAACCGGCCAAGTGCTTATCTTTTGTGATCATAAAGCTAGTTCCATCTGTGGCAAAAGATACGTGGCAATGGCAACCCTGTAGTTAGTTTTAATTATTAATTATTTGTTTATTTTTATTGTTGGAAATTACATCGTCATCATCAACCGACCAAACAAAGCATTGCTGAACGAACTATGAAAACTATAAATAAAGTTTATAAATACCATAATTTTCATGTTGACTAAAGAAAGATATATAATTATGTATTATTTTCCTCTTATTTGCAACTTGGGGTATTTCATGTGTCATGGGTGCGTTTATAAAGACACACCTGTGTGTTTGTTTGCACTACAGCACTACACAATATGTGAAACTGCGTGATGCGACCTAAATTCTGATAAGCGATTCGTAGTAAATACAAAGAATGGCCCCGTGCGGGAAACGACACGATACACAGAATTAATGCACCAATTAAACAAAGGAATTTGTCTTCAAAACATAACATACTTACGCCATTATCTACAGGAAAAATATGGTAAATATGTACTTACATTATGAAAGGCAAGTTTACTTATCTACTGACACAACTCTTACATGAAAGCGAAATATTGGCCTATACTGCCTATACATATTAATGAACCCAACAAGTCCCGCATAGTTACGGAATGCATCGCCTAAACATGCGGGATGATGTATTATGAATGTTATGATAATAGAAACGAGTCGTTTTGTAATACCATTTTATTTGCATTTAACTGTTAACAAGTACCTGGCTAGTTAAATGTGACTTCACAGGCCTTAGTACGAGTTTAATTTACGTTTAAAGTATTCGAAACGAGTACGCGTTCGGCGCTCTGATTGGTTGGTTCATTCGAGCCGGCCAATCAGAGCGCAGAAGCAGAACGCGTACTAAATCAAACTCGTACTAAGGCCTCTGAAGAAAATTTGTTTTAATACCACGACGTTGGCAAAAAAGTAAGTCTGATGGTAAGCGGTTACCGTGACGTATGTACGCCTGCAACACAAATTGTATGTAAGCAATCCATATTTATTAATTATTATAGTTAACTAAACAAAATACCCTTAATAAGATGCTTTAACTGAGTTTTATCATTTATGCCATGCAAAGAATCAATTTCCTTTTGCGAATTTCCTTGTAAGAAAGATACCTATTTTATAAATAAATTTCCAGCAGACACGTCATCAATTGCCCGCCTGCATGATTGGTAACGCACACATGATGTCCCCAATGATTCACTTATGCCGATGTACCTACTTTTAAGTAATCATTAAATATCTCTGAAGACGGTAGTCATCAGAACTTTATGAGTCTACTTTTGCAAAGCGTTGTAACTACGTACGCACCGTGATTTCAGTCACGGTTTTATTTTACCGAAACCCAGAAATGATTTCGAGACTTTGGGTTCCAAAGGCACATTTATGACTCCCCACGTAAGAGGGCAATCGAAATAAAATACGAAGAGTTAATGAAATAATCAGTAACTCGTAGTACCTAGTCGTTATCATACTTACCTACCTAATAAATGTATTAATTAAATAATATCAGTACAAAGAACTTTATTTGAGACGACTCGATAAGAATCTTCACGGAATATTCATCTTACCAATTTTATTTTATTGTTCGATTTTAGCATAAAATAAAATTTCCTGTTGCGTCAGAAATTATGTGCACTGGCTCTGACTCATAGAATTAAACGTAACGCATTTACTACTACTCAAATGACAAGATCTGTAGACCTGCAACGCCATTCACATTGTTAAATACCATCCTTTTTTACTTACTAAACTTTTTATTTGTCACTGGACAGCAGGAAAATAGTGGCTAAGCAAGAAAGATATTTCACGGGAACTGGTAATTTTCCCGGTATAAGAATTATTTTACCCAGGACCTTGACTTTTATCTGGATGATCATGAATACTCATGTGTCCCCAGATAAAAGTCAAGGATCATTTTGTGCCATTCACAAGGCTAATACACCCATATAAAATGATACACAAAATGGTTTAACGAAGATGTAGTTTTCTTTCTATGCATATTGATTACATGGATAAGGATGGATGTAGACTTAGGAATTTGGCACTACACGAGACCTGATACCTTTTTGGAAGTGCATGGTATTAGACTCCTTGGCAACATTTTATATTTTTTCTTGGTGGGGAGTGCGTTAAGACAAGATTATGTTAAGAAAGATGGTACAGTATGTCTACAAACACAAATAGCCAAATAGCAAATGTATGCCATTAAAGAAATTCAAAAAGTGTCTTCACAAGTTATTAGTTGAGAAATGTTATTATGCCTTGGATGACTATTTTAATGATAATACTATTTGATTATATTCTTAATTTTATAAATTATTATTATTAATGTTGACTTAATGACTATTTTAATTTTGGATGACTATTTGATTAAATTCAGTAATTTTATTAATTCATATTATTACATTTATTTAAACGCTTTGACATTGAAGTTTGACATCTTGACTTTTAATTTTACGCTTTGACATTGAATTTTACATTTTTAACATTTTGATATTATTATTTTTGACATTTAATTTTAATTTATGCCATTATTGAAAATCTCTAATGTTCTTCAAAGCGGATATTTTGTGGTTTACATTATTTTATTAATTTGATTTAAAGAGTCGTCAATGTTCAATGAAATTGCAAATTATTAACGAGATAAATGGTCAAAATTGTGTAATTGTAGTGATGTGTTTACTGTTTATTGTTTATGAATCCGTGTCAAATGCTTGTTTTTTTATTAAGTATATTGCATGTATTGTACGCCCTAGAGGCAAAACATAGCGCTCTCAACATATTACATAAGAACTTATAATGTACCTATGTTTTACAATGAATAAAAGAATCTGAATCTGAATCTGAATCTAGCCACTCACAGTCATGTCTACACTGGTTTTCAATGTACACCGTGTAGTAATTAGATACACGGTAGGACTCCGGTTCTGTGAATCTGTTCTCCGCATTGAGGATACAGTTGCCAACCAGAGAATCCGACGTGTAGATAACGTCGGGGTCGAACTCACTCTGAGGTACTACCCACTGCGCAGACCTGTGAACAAAAACTGTACAAGTCACATTACGGCAATGATATAAAGGATGCGCTGAATAAGAGGTCACTTATTAGCATAAGCTTAGTGGCACTGGCGATCACTAAATATCGAATATTGAATTGAGAGCAAAGTCACGCAGGAAACGTGCACAATACCTGATTAATGCTATGGGTGTCGTTTTCGTGGCTTTAGAGGGTGGTAAAACTGAGGGTGCTGTCAAAATGTAAATCCAAGATGGCGTGTGCACCAAATTTTCATCACGATTACATCATCCAAAAAACCTGTTTCAGAGATTTATAATTAAAGTAGTTTTATATGATACCTGTACTTGATTTAGAAATGCGGCTCTCTGAAAAGTTGATTTACCTACTCAGTAAGATTATTTATTATATGCTGTAACGGCGAAACAATTCCCCGCTTTTAAACCACTTCACATTGAATGTATAAGTAATTTTAATTTTCCTTCGACAAAAGTCCAGTCAAAAGAAACATGATTGAAATGTATTCGATTGAATGCAGCTAGTTTTGTCACTACACTATCTAAGGGGCGGAAAGCGGAGCCGACGCCATGTTTGATTCCATTTTGACACGCGAAGTACGTACACAGTTCATTTCCTTTTATTTGTTTCTTCATTGATCCTCACAAACTTGTGCAATTACATATCAAATCAAATCAAATCATTTATTTGCATATACCTAATATTAATTACTAGCTTCAGCCAGCGGCTTCACCCGCGTCATATGTGTTATTAAAGACCATAATTTGCCTTTATTCCAAATTTCATCCCGGTCCCTTCAACCGTTTTGATGTGACTGAGTGACAAACACACAAACTCACATACAATTCACATTTATAATATTGGTCCAAGCTAATATCAACCTACAGTTACAACGTAAAGTCCACTGTGGGCAACGTATCGTTCGACAAACTTATATTTGCGTTTGGTACAGAATAATTAAGTTTGCTTTTTTGTGTATATACTATTTCGGGATAAAAAGTACCCAGTATATGACCTAATTCTGTTTCTGTTACATGGTGCAAAATAAATAAAATCTTAGGTCTTACTTGAACTTCTTATCACCGTTGTAGGTGAACACAGCATCGTAGCACTCGTAGATGGTTGTGTTGAGAATGACCTTGAGGTGAGACACTTCGGAGTGCAGGTGGTAGCCAGGAGTGTTCTCCAGCATCCACCACCGCGTACTACACTCATCTGGCACTGTCGAAAGACAAAGTTTAACTCGTCGAGTACCGGTTTTGTAGACACAATTATAGAACAATAAGTTGCGGTCACCGGTGACCGCTTGGTGTTTGACAGTTTAAGTAAAGTATCTATGCCAATGACAACTTAGATATTTTTTTAACCTGCCCTACGCGAGTCACCCATGCTCGCCATCCGCAGGCCCGTGCTTACGGTGGCCAGAGATCGTCTCGCGATCCCCGACGCCCAGAGTGTGTCTTTCGACTCACGCGCCAACCCTCCTCCTTAGCTAGCATAACTGCTTCGCAGAAGGAGAAGACGGTCCCTTCCCTCCCTCCGTACCATAGTCTAAACTAAAGCCGGACGCGAGAGATCACCGTCGCCGATCACATCCCTGAGGACACGGCGGTGCTCAGCCTACGCAGGGCACACTGTCAGACTGCCACCGTGACCTCCGGGCGGTCCTAGCAGTGACGACACCCGGACGTTTCCCTCCCACCCAATATAATATAAAATATAATTTCCCTCGGTTTCAGATTACTTCCGTTTACGTAAAGTATATGAAGGTGAAGCGTTGTTTTTTATTTAGTATTAATTAATTAAGTTTTTTAGTGATTTAATTGGTTTCGATAATTTTTATAATGATACTCGTTCTTATTGATTTGGTGCTAATACTTGCTCCTTGCCAGTCAGTGTCTTGTCAATTTCGGTTAACTTTGTGTTCAAAATATTCATAGAACAATTGTGACTTTTCTATAGACATTCATTTGAACTGTACGTGTCAGTCTCAGTGAGCCAAGTAAATAAAATTAAGCGGGCGATACCTATTGCATCCCTAAAAAATTTAATTATGCACAAGTATGATTATGCTAAATTTCGAAAGCATGTAACGAACACAATTTCACTTCATTTTCCTAAATGATTGTTATACTGTAGGTACTTTGCGGTGTTCTGGCGCGAAAACAAAACTATATATTTTACAAAAAAACCGTCTACACACACCTAAATTATAGGAATGATTGTTTTTGTTAATGATTGATTTTCCTTTTCTTTATTTATTAGCTACCCAGAACATTTAATTATTAATTGAATTCTCAAACATAAATTAATAACTTGATGATAAGCAGAGTATAAAGGAAAAAGGGCAATTTAAAAAACATCATTATTTCCAAAATTTTCTTCAAAGTGACTTTCCCTATGATGAATACATCGCACACGCTTCCTTATCTCTGTGACGGATACTCTTGAACTGAATGAGCGTCTTATTATTACTTCAGCCGCTTTCAGCGTCAATTTAGTGATGAGTTAGTAATATAAAGATACTTAGGTAGTTTAAGTATATGCTTACGTGTCAGACAGACTTTCTTGAAGAAGGCGACATCGTTGTCTACTTTCAATTTGGCTGAGGTGTGATCTGCTATGCCCTGGCAGTTTCCTCTGCCGTATGCGACGACGACAGCCGCGCACTCCTCCAGCTCCCGACACCTGGCTAGGCAGGCTCCTGCCAGAGACTGTTCCTCGCCGCTCGCAGAGTACACAAACACAGGTTTCGCAGTCTCCGGAGCCACGCCTGACCAACGGACGTATGTCACCGACCGACCAACTCCGCATTGTGCTTTGGATGCTGGGAAAAAATAATAAGAATACCTTTTTTAATAACTAGTAGCACGATAAATTAATAAACTACTTTTAAAATCAACTTCAAAAAGAAAAAACTTAACAGAAAAAAATATCCAAGTAAAGTTTGAAATCTTCTATTCCATCTAACATATGAAGTTGAAGAGTTTGTTTGTTTGTTCGATTGCGCTAATTTATTTTATATAAATAGATAAAAATTTTTGCAGCTGAGCACCTACCGCATACATTTCTGCACTACCTAAAGGATGACTGGCAGAGAATGCTGTTAGCATTAAGTCTTCCTTATGCAATTGTATAGAACATAAATAAATAAATAAAAAAAACATAGAGGAAGGCTATATGTAATCAATTGATGAATTAGGGGCCGCTGGGATTTACTTTTTTTTAATGACGAGGGACACATTTAACTATTGCCTAACTTTTTCGAGAGGAATATTAGGGATTGTGGGATTTTTATTTCAGTAAAACCACCTCAGTGGCCACCCTCAGTACCTCTAAGAGGCACCGAGTCCTCTAATAGACTTGCTCCAGAGCCCCCACAGTATAACGGCCGGCGGCCCATCCTTAGGGAGATGTGCGTCTCCCTTAACACGTTCACTGCCACCACAATTTTTTTGAAGTTCATAGCGATGCCACCCTATAAAGCCACGTGGACACGCCAGGCGTGTCGGCGGCACTGCATCTTGTTAAACATGGACACGCTAGGCGTGTCCAGTGGCACCTCGATGGAGTTAAATTCTAAATCTGTTTTTTTTCCGGTTTAGCGATGAGTATTAGTTAGTTTGTCAATCGCTGAGCAAGAATACAGGTGATTTGAAATACGGTAGTGAGAATTTACCTGGAATTATGGCTGAAAATAGAAGTTTAGGTAAGTAATTTTCGTAATTTTGTAAGAGATCATAAACATTTTGTGGTTGTTTTGAAATATTTCATAATATTAACTTAGATAAGTCAATTATTACAAGTTTACGGAACGATACCTATTTTAGTTGAAGATAGCATACTTATTTAACAACAATAACAAAATGTTTCATAAAATACTTATGTTTGCCATAATTTTCTCCCCTATACTTTTATTTCATTAAATATGAATTGCCAAAAACTACAAAAAAATGGGGGTAAG